TGAATAGCGGATGGAGGAGGACGGCGGGTGAAGAAGGAGAATGGTAAAATGAGGTGCTGGATCAGATTTCAGATTTTTTTAGGGTGTTCCAGCACAAATTAAGCCCTGGTTTTAGGGTCCCCTTGAAACATTTCTATTGTTTTCTGTGCTAATTAAAGGTGTTGTGAGAAATTGCAGGCTTTTTCGTAATTTGTTTGCATTGTGAGTAAATGCAGCACGTTTTGTTAATTTGTTTGCGTATTGAAATAATGCAGCACGTTTTTTAAAATTGTTTTTGCATTGTGAGAATTAGCAACACGTGTGCTATTACATGAATTAAGATCTTTTCTGAATTTGCTGGGTTTTTTTGTAATTGCATTGATTTTGGGCGTTTAATCTTTAATTTTGCGACAAATTCAACTGCAGTTAACAGATGTGCAAACAGATGAAGATGGATACAAATTCTCAAGCAACTGGCCACCTCTGCCATTTCATTCACTAAATTTTCATTCATGCCCCACTGACAAAGTCACTTTAAAGTTAAGGCATTTCATAATGTTCATTTCTTCCAGAATTCTCAGCATAGTCATCGTTTCCTTGCGTCCTTGCACGAAGCCATTTGTTTGTTATCAAATGTCTGACAACTCAACACAGCAATATTGTTACTAAAATTGGTATACTTCAGATGTGGCACAGATTTGATTATTTTTGTTTAGTTTGATTATGACTTTAGTTTACCGTAATCAAAAATCGCTGTTTACATGGTGGACTCTTAATCAGATTATGTCTTAATTGTATTAAAATCTAAGTATTGATGTCCATGTAAACAAACTCACTGAACAACTTTAGGTAAAACTTCAGTTAAAGTATCAACTCCCACTAATAACTACTGACTTATTTCCTGCCTATTGTTAACATATTGTTAAGATAGGTTAATTAACTTTCTGTTTGAGCATTATCGACTCTCCGTTTTCTGTTTAGCCAATCCTACCCAACACCTAAACTCATCTACTACTTTACTTACTATTTAGCAAATTAGTAGTTTAAGCTAAAAGTCTTAGCTAAGGGTTTGTTAACTACAAGAACTGTATCTTAAAACAAAGTGTGATCTAATTTTCATTCATTCATTTTCTTTTCAGCTTAGTCCCTTATTAATCAGGGGTCGCCACAGCGGAATTAACTACCTACTTATCCAGCATATATTTTACGCAGCGGATACCCTTCCAGCTACAACACATCACTGGGAAACATCCATGCACACTCATTCACACACATACAGACAATTTATCCTTTCCAACTCACCTATAGCAAATGTCTTTGCACTTGTGAGGGAAACCCACACAAACATGGGGAGAACATGCAAACTCCACACAGAAATGCCAACTTACCCAGCCAAGGCTCGAACCAGCAACCCTCTTGCTGTGAGCGTGAGCCAATTGTGCTACCCAATGTGCCAAGCCCTGACCCAACTTTATTTTTATCAATTAACAATAACAAAAATGCATAATTAGAGTAATAAATCCATTGCTTATTGTTTGTGGACGTTAATAAATACATTAACTAATATTTACTAATGGGAAATTATTTAAAAATATTACCACTTAATCTTTTGCACTGTTTTTAGAGAAATTGTATCTACAAATGAGACAGCAAAAAGTCATTCAAATTAGCAACTAATTCACAAAACAAAATAAAAAGTTGACATGATAGCGTATTGGCTTTTAAAAAAATGGATCACCCAGAGGAACTCATGCAATTATGGGGAGAACATGCAAACTCCACACACAGAAACACCAACTGGCCCAGCCAAAGCTTGAACCAGCGATATTGTAGCTGTGAGGTGAATGTGCTACCCACTGCGCCACCGTGCAGCCATTTTAAATATTATAAGCAGAAAATAATTTTTCAAAACTTTCAAATATATATATATATCAATGTATCATTTCAGCCTTGATATCGCAATGTACAAATCTGCAATAGTTACATTTTCATTACATTTTGACAAGATGTCACAGGATCTGCAATGTCAGATTGGGATTATTTTACATTTGATTATTGTGTTTCTGAACCTCAATGCTGTTAGACTCCACCGAAAACAATAAAGAGCTGTTTGCTTCATTTGGTGGATTTTTGTAGCAGATGCTCTCCCCTAAAATTACAAATACTTTCCAAAAAGTTACTAAAACTCAAGTCATCTTGTGAAATTATATTTAAAATGCAATATAATTGCAGAAAAACTAAATATTGCATAGTGTTACCACGACTGGGGTGGAGTGACAGGAGACAACAGGAGGTAAGATCTAATATGCAGTTTTATTCAAAGTCAGGCAAGCCGTGGTCATCAGGTGCAAACGGGTATGTTAAGGCAGTCCAGAATCATCCTCAATATAACAGGCTATGGGTCTAAAGGCAGGCGGCTAAACAGGATAACAAGGAATGCAAAGCTAGGGTCTAAACACGGATAAACAAGACAGGGAGAAATGCTTCGTAATGTCACACTGGGAAAACAAGACTCGGCAAACTGGTGGCGTGAGAGAGTGGCTTATGAATGGAATGAAATCAGTCTGTGAACAAGGCTCAGCTGGTGATGCAATCAGGATAGATGAATGAACAGACGTGTGTGTTTGGGAGCAGTGCATGTATGAATGTGTAGTCCTGGGAAAAGCGGAAATGTAGTTTAGAGAGTTTGTGTGAAAACCAGCGATCTTCTGGGAAGCGATCGCTGGTTGTGTAACACATAGTCAGTTTTTTCAAATATAGTGCAGTCTATATATATATATATATATATATATATATATATATATATATATATATATATATATATATATATATATATATATATATATATATATATATATATATATATATATATATATATATATATATATATATATATATATATATATATATATATATATATATATATATATATATATATATATATATATATATATTTTTTTTTTTTTTTTTAATTAAAAACTATGAACAGTTAGTGACTTGCTTTTAACTGTTTTATAATCCAGACCAGGGACTTAGAATTCATCGATACATCAGTGTCATTGGTAATTATTACGGCTGCACAATATTGGAAAAATCTGACATTGCGATATTTTATTTAGCTGTGACTTATATTTGCGATATCAATACAATTTGGTCAGACGACGTGAATAGCTTTATTTGGAATGAAATCACTAACTTTGATTGGCATTATCTTGTAGAGGAGTGAATCAAAGAAATTGCAAAAGATTGCAAAATTGCAAAAGATTAAAGGGAAATAAGAAGTCAGATATTCAGATATAGTAATACGATTACGATGCAATACTATGATGATATTTTACCTTTGATAATGATAGATCACAATATCGGCGATACATTGCAGGAAAACCATCCATAATATATCATGATACTTGTAAATGGTCAAGGAAAAATGCATCAGAAAGTTATAAGATTTATTTATTTTATTAACAGCACATATATTTCTAAGAATCGCAACATTGATATATGTTCGATTCGCTATAATGAGAAGCGCCACCTCATGCATATCACTATTTTGTCCTGCCCCTACCGAATAATCAAATGTAATGTAAAATGTAAACACTGCACATTCTTCATTGCTGATCAACTAATAATCCCAACTCCTAATTGCAGATGTGACTATTGTGAATACACACATTGCGATATCGTTGCTGAAATGATAGATTGTGCAGCTTTACTATTATAAACTACCACACTTTACTTTAAGGTACGGTTCTTGCTATTAAACTATTAACTGAGACTTTAAGCACAATAAAGAACTCATTTCCTGCTCTTATTAAGGTAGCTGTGTTTAGACACTGGGCAGGATTATGGATATAGAACAAGACCATACTTTATAAGTACTTATAAACAGTCAATATATTTATAATAAGCATGTAATAAGCCAGTACTTAATTTGTTACCATTTTTAGCTTCTGTCATCTTTATTAGTTTTGTTTTTTTAAATATATTTAGCTTACTTCATTGTGTTGTTTCATTACACTACAAAAAGTTTCTATCATTAAAACTTCTCTCAACAAAATAAAACAAATATTGAAATTCTGATGTACAACAAAGCCTACACCATAGGAAGCAAGCATGTTACGCAAGAGATTGGGGAATGCTCTTCTGTTTGTGAAATAAAGCCAAACTTTACTGAGAGCAACTGCTCCCTAATATTTCCTCCACATTCACCAAAGAGAGCCTCCAAAATCATTTATAATTCATTCGCCTCTCAGGTTTAACCCAAAACACTACAAACCTGTCTCAGTAAAACAGAGAAATGACAGCAAGAACACAGGTGAAGTGAAGTTTCACTACTTGTGTGATCTTCCTTTAGTCTGACAATGGCACAGATGAAAACAAAAGGTGAAACATTCACCCATCCTCCTCCTCCTCCCCATCACCAAACACCTTTACTCAAAAGTCTCACATACATATTCCCCTATTACAGCAACAGTATTGCACCTGTCTGGCTCCTTCTCTGCTCATCACACTGGGATAAATCATGTTAGCATGACTCAAACACACCAGACTACATTTTAAGCTTGCTGTTGACAAGTTAAATCATTTTTGCATTTAAAAGATTAAATAACAGATGTTACACACAAACAACTTGAAAAAAACAAGCCAGCATCTACTAAACTAACGTTACTCAAGCCCGCAACAATCAGTGTTTGCCATAACAAACTGCTCATTATATAATGAGTGCAGATAACAGTCTGCGACAGAGCCGATGCAGCTCTGCAAATACACATGAGCTCAATTACACTGGTGCATTCAGAAAACCAGCCTCATGACCGGGATGTGTGTGCCATCCTGGCCGCGGTCGAGCAGCTGGAGCCCGGCTGCACGAGTGAGGATCTGGCCTGAGGAGATGCAGCCAGTGCGAGAGCAGAGCAGCAGCACAGCCCATCCCCCACCAGCGCCGCCGTCCTCCATCTTTAATCTCCAGACCCGCTACTCTTCACACCCCAATAACGGCACAAAAAACGCATTTAACTCACCTGGGATGCTCATGGTCGTAAAGGTCGGCGTTCCCGCTATTTGGAATTCGATAAAACTTTTGCTAAATATGGATTTATTAATTGAAATTTGGACCAGGAGATGGAACCGCGCCTTTCAGAAGAGCAGCAATCCTAAACCGCCATCTGGTGGCATTTTCCACAATCGAATGGCGCGAGTCGAGACCGGAGCCCGAGCGCCCTCTGGCGGACACAGCCGAGAACAGACGACGCTCAGCGGGCGGTGGGGGGAAGGAGGAGAGACCCTGATAACCAGGATGAGCAGACGTGCAGTTTAAACGCTAAAATTGCACTATTTTACTGTTGATATGTGTAGTTTTTATAAAGACGTGCTATTCTTAAATGTAGGCATCACACGTGTCAAATGATAGTGTATTTTGACAACACTATGATTTTTTAGACGAGTAAGTTAACGTATTGTTGTCTCAAGAGCTCTGTAAATTCCAAACAAATATGGCGAAAAAAATAGCAGAAATGTGTTGATTTTGTGTGAAATACTTATAAATATGTTATACGTAACGTGGCGTGTGTATATATATATATAATATATATAAACACACACACACACAGTTAAAGTCAGATTCATTAGCCCCCTTTGATTTTCTATTTCATTTTTTAAATATTTCGCAAATGATGTTTAACAGAGCAAGGAAATTTTCACAGTATGTCTGATATATATATTTATTTCATTTTTTTAATGTTTTTAATAATAAGTCTTAGGCTACTTGTTTTATTTCGGCTAGAATAAAAGCAGTTTTCAATTTTCTAAAAGCCATTTTAAGGACAAAATTATTAGCTCATTTAGGCCATGTTTTTTCAATAGTCTACAGAAGAAACCATCTTTATACAATAACTTGCCTAATTACCCTAACCTGCCTAGTAAACCTAAATAACCTAGTTAAGCCTTTAAATGTCACTTTAAGCTGTATAGAAGTGTCTTAAAAATATCTAGTCAAATATTATTTACTGTCATCATGGCTAAGATAAAATAAATCAATTATTAAAAATGAGTTATCAAAACTATTATGTTATATTAATGTGTTGAAAAAATCTCTCTGTTAAACAGAAAATGGGAAAACAATAAACAGGGGGGCTGATAATTCTGATAATTCTGACTTCAACTGTATGTATGTATACAACTATAACTATTAAATATATAACTAATAAAACACATTATGCTTTTTCTTATATACATTTGCCTTATAGATTTATACATCTGTTTCATAAATTGTCAAAAACCACATTTTCAGCTAAAACTATTTATTGTTGAACTGAAGAAACAAAGTGGCCACATGATGAGTTGTCTGTAACAGTAAATTAATCTATTAATGGGTAAACTATCTATTGAAATAATATTCTAATTTGTAATGTAATGATTTGATGTATTCTTTATTCTAACTTTTTTAGCGTAGCCAATATCAAAACGTACCTAATGATCAATTGAATGATATGTTTTGCATCCTTTTTATTCCTCTTTTCTATTTATTGCATTAACTGATCTTGTCAGCCAGGTTTTCTTCAGCCTTATGCACTTCTTTTATGTGAGAAAAACATATTAAAGCTCTTGCTCTTCAGTAATTGACTAATCTGTGGTGACCTTTGGGTAATTGCACTCAGGGATTGGAGTGTAATGTATGTGGGTGGTCTTCACGCTGAGATGGCCTAAAGCTGTGGTCTGGTCCAGACTGGTCCTCTCATCCTGTTGCAAGTGTGATGAGTCATTCGAACAAGGAGAAAGGTCTGAATCACAAAACACACAGCGGATTTGCCAATATACAACAAAGTTTAATAAGATGACAATGAAATGTCTTTGTGATATTTGCCTTCTCAAAATTGAAACAGGAAATAAAACAAATATGCAAAACAAAGCCTTTGCTGACAGCTGATCGCAAAAACATGTTTGTCACGTTTTTAGGATATGGTCAGGGGCTTTACTACAAATTCACATCTTAATATTAAAATAATAATTGGGATTTGTCTGAATAATTTGTGGTACATGTTATAAATATTGACATTGTTATAAATATTGACATTAAAATATATCTGACCTTTAGAAGGTATACTTCATTTAAATAGTGTTAAATTCTTTTTTAGGGTGACAGCTATTATGCAGCTATTAAAAATTGGTTTTTAAAAAATGTATACTTTGTATCGCTCAAATCATGAACTTTAACTCAATTCAAGTTTTTTTTGTGTGTGTGTGTGTGTGTGTGTGTGATGTTGAATGAACATTATTACACATTGAGTTTTATTTTTCAAAGTTTTACTTTTACATTAACCTTTTCTAAAGTTTATACCTTATTTGAAACGCAAAAACATCTCATATTACACCCATATACTATTAAAAATTTACTTTTTTATTTTACTTTACTTTTTTGAAGTTATCTACTATTTTGTCTCAATAAAATAACAATGATTTATTTTAATGTAATACAAAAGTACTTTTTATAATAAGGCAGCAATCTAACAAAATAAAATCATTTGTTTTAAAATCTGTCAGCCAGTTTAGAACTCACATCATTATTATTTTACAATAAAACATATGTATAGATTTTTTTTTTTTACTAGCAGGAGATGATATTTAAATGTTTCATTAATTGTTTTACTCTTAAAAACATTAAGTGTTTTTGAACAGTTAAATGAGCATTAACTGAATACAGGGGTATTTTAAAGGGCACCTATTTTACCCCTTTTTCAAGATTTAAGATAAGTCTTTTATGTCTCCAGAATGTGTCTGTAGTTCTCCACGCCCACCCTCCCCACGTCCCTGTCAGTGTGTGCCTCAATCTCTAGCTGCGTGCATCAGATAAACAGCGCAGTGACAGACATAAAAAAAGCAGATCTCACTTAACGTTTGTGAGAAAAACTACAGTAAGAACTTTCCCAATGATTATTTGATGTATTTGTTGTGGAGTTAATTCAAGCCTTTCTGCAACGATGGGTCGCACACAATTTCATTACAAAGTTCAACTTTGTAACTGCGTTTAACTTTGCACTGCTTTTGCATGGCAAATCTAACAGGACGCACGTTAATATCCACTGCTGTATAGATGTCCCTGTTATGTTAATGTACAAGATAAACCTGATTTACCGTCCACACAAAACAGGATTGAAGCGTGTTCTTTTATAATTGTACTGACATGCGGCTGTGGTGATAAAGTCACAGCAAGCTGAACATCTTTAAATCCCAGTTGCTTTATGCACATCCTGTCTTGTAGATATTATTAAACACGTTACTACGCAAACATGTTAATATGTGGTTGTCAATCAATTTGGTGGGCAGGGAAACCGGACTCCTACGTCACGTTGTGGTGGGCTTCAAAATGGGATGAGTTTGAATCCTGTTTTTAAAAAATAGACTTATTATGTTTATATCACCCTATATGACTGTGGACACATTATACCTGCACAAAGTTCTGTCCAAACAGCTTACAAAAGATGATTTTCATCATATTTGCACTTTTAATTGAATTTTAATGAATAAGAACATGTCCAATGTAAGCTGATATAATAAATAAAAATAATAATAATGATAATGTTGCCTGAAAACCATAATGGTACTGATATACTGAATGCATATATTCATATTTGGATATGTCCTTTACTGACATAATGGCGTATGTCAGTTCTAGCTGGTTTAAAGATTCTCTAAATAAGAGTCCTCCTGGGAATGATGTGAACATGCTGCTCAAAGAGTGTAATACGATGTATGTCTCCTTCATGCCCCATCTCCCTGCCTTTCCTTTGCTTGACGATTAAAAGGCAATGTGATTCACCTCGCCTGGCTGCCTGTGAGCCCAGCAGTTTCTCTCAGGAGCTGTTAAATTTGCAACAGAGTCACAATTTCTGTGGGGACCGATCCTAATCTAGAAGATAAATCCCACAATGCAGACCTCACACTGCAGTGATATCCGATGCCAAACAAGCAACTGTGTTTCTCGAGTTGTTGTTTCACTCTATTTACACTGCAGATGATAAGGACTAGCGGATACTGGATATGACTACAAAACCAGTCATCTGTGAAACTGATAAAAACCAGGTTATTATTCTCCTCACAAACACTTCAGGCTAAAGAGAGCACTTTTTTCCATCTATACTCGTAGGCTTATGTATTTGTATTTCCTGTTCAAGGCCTTCTGTTTTTTCCGCCCAGCTGCCTTCATCATTACATTAGACGCATTGTTGTTTCTGTACACCAATATCTCTCCTCAGCAGTGGCTTTTGTCAGAAGGCTGATGGATTCGAGACGCTCTAACCCAATTAGCTGACTCCAGATTTATGAGCAGAACAAAAGAGAATTTTCTAGGCCTCCCTCTTCTCTCGGGATAAGAAGGGAATGGAAACGAGGCTGAAGTGGAAAGAGTGAGTCACTGATGAGAATGGAGATGGTGACACACATGGCTTCTGACATTAAACGTACACCTCTGGAAGACCTTTATATTTCAAAAAATGTCATGCTCCGTAGTGCTGAGCCAGAAATAAAAGTATTTTGTTCCTTATTGTAATGTTTCTCTATGAAATAAAACACAGAAAAAGAAAATATGTACTTTGCCCATCAGATAATCAATAAATTGTCGTGGTTTGCCATTGGTTGATTTCATGTGAGTTCAAACAAATTCAAAACAAAGATGAGCTAAAACATGTCATCCCAATTCACCCAACTTATTCTTTGTCCAATTTTACCCCTTTTACAAGTTGTAAGATAAGCCTTTGGTGGTTTCAGCTCAAAATCCCCATCAGATTATTTATTATAGTCTTCAGAATCTTCCCATTTTGAGTATACTGTAGCTGTTTTTGTAGCCTGTGGCTTTAGTTGAAAATGAGATGGTTTTTCCCGCCCACCGCTCTCACGTGCGTGTCTACTTGTCATCATGCATTAAGTCAGATAAACAGCCGTCAGTGATAGACTCAGAGAAAGTTGAAATACAGATCATTATTAAAAAATACCAAGTTTATTTCATGCATTTGTGGTGGAGTTTATTCAAACCTTTCTGAAATGATGAGTCTCACACAAATGCTTTTTGCAGTACATACAAACAAATCAAATCACTTTTATTTTCACATCCTCAGTAGCATGTGTACTATGATAAGTAAAAAACGTAGACACATATGTGCGCGCTTACTGACACCATGCTGCCGTGGTGATTTTAGCGGTTAAGAATTACATAGTTTATAACTATGTTTATAAGCCCGTAGCCAATGGGGGGTTTGGATGGTTCGGAAGACCCACCCCTCACTGACAAAGGCCAAAATTTGTCCCATACATGAGCTCATTTGTCCTACTTTGACTACTATGCCATCGTGGTGAAAATAACCAACACAATCTCACAGCAATTCGTAACTTTTTGATTTAGTGGCTAATTCATGTAAATTTGTACGATCTAATTAGTACAATTTAGTACGATTTGCTCATCCCCCAATGACGGTTACATTTAGGGTTGGGGTTGGGTGCCATGCCTCCTTTTTAAAATCATAGAATTTTGTACGATTAAATTAGCCACTAAACTTAAAATAAAATTAAAAT